TTAAAGAAATATATGCCTCAAAGAGTGAATACGATTGATTTGAGCTGCTAGTGGATAAAAAGTAACAGCATTCAATAAACATCATCTTTGACTTCACTCTGCCTCAACCGAGATTTTTAATACATATTTGTACTAATACAGTTTGACTAATGAAACGCAGTACTTCTTCCTTGCCTAAAAATATTTCTCTCTGAAATTTTCCTGATTTGAAGAGTTCTTACTGAAGAAGTAACTCGCTCAGACATGAAATAAACAGCTGGAATTTAAGAAACTCATACTTTAGTAAGTTCCTGAGGATGTAAGGTTGCTTTCAGTCATTGGTGTCTGTTATGAGTGAGGGGTCTGACACCAGAAAGCCTGTTTTGAATTAATTTGATAACCTTGACTGTTCACGACAATGCTGCTGACTTCTGTTTGTTCTAGTCTCTGTAATCTTCTTTCTTAGCCAAGCTCAGTATCATCAAGGCTCTCATTTCTTCAGTTACTAAATGATGGCTAGAAACGCTAGATCAAGGAAATGTTTATGTTTCTTTCAGAGGTTTAGCCTTCCTGGTTGAGGAGGAACATAAGAAATTTGACCCAGGCTCCCCAGAAAACAAATGAAAAATCCTGAAAAAACCCAATCTGTTTAATTCACTTCCAGATTTTGCAGGGGAGGAGGTATCACCATCTTGCTGGTAATTTTTAGCAGTTCTGCTATTGGAAGTACTGTCCCTGTGCTGCAGCAGCAGTTTTTGGAGGAGGAGGAATATGAGAGCCACTAGCAGATGCCATTTACTGCTCTCTTGGGTGTTGGAGTGCTTGTGGCCAGTGGATGACTGCTGACATTAGCTCTCTGGCTGAGAACAGCTGCCCATGAGCTGGTGCAGCTCTTGTTTCTAGATGAAACACAGTGTTAGGTTTACGCTTACTCCTCACAGGGCTGCTGTAAAGGTTTCCTCTTGCTTTCCTTGCAGCTTTTACTCTTTGGTGTGTCAAGTACAAAAATGCCCTTCCTTCCAACGGCCACAGCGGTGATTTTCTGTTTTCCTTCTGCAAGGGAATCTGAAATGCAAAGACCAAATAGTAACGTGTACTTGCCTAGAAATAATGTGCTGAGTTTGTAAGTACTGGAGAAAATGAATTGGCACCTAGTTATTTCCGTGTACCTCCCTAGCACCAAGAACAATTAGGCACCAGCTGAAGACAGTGACTGCCAAAAGCGCATTTGGATGAGGTGGGTGTTTCTGGGTGGTACAGTCATGCGTTAACCAGTGTGACTGCATCACTAAAACAAAAGTATGTTTGTATCCCCAACCCTTTGTAGGGATCTGCCATCCTCAAGAGGAAAGGACACCAATAAAGCATCTGGCAGGGAGGAAAGGAAAAGAAATGAGTACAGGATGAGGAGGTGTATTTAACTGCTTGCTTTTCGCAGAACCCATCTACCTGAACTGGATCTAGTGTTCACAGCTGCTTCAGGAATTATACTGCATGAAAACTGAAATGGGAGCAGGTCAGCTGCCTCCAAATCCAGTTCTCTGGGTGTTAGAAGAAATCTAAACTGATGGGCAAATGGGTGGGCAGCAAACAGCAGCAGGGAGGGCAGTGGCAGCAGGGACAGGGATCTGGGAAGCTTTGTGCAAACCTTAGAGGAGGTGGAAACCCTTTCCCTGCAATACAAACACAATCTTCTGATAGAAGTAGGAAACCAGACATAATTTTTCTATTTGCTGAGACTGAACTTTCACAGGACGCAGAACTACTTGCGAAAATTCTTGGCTCCAGTGCATAAAATCCTGCTCCCTCGTGCTCCTTGAATCCAGTGCTAAGCTCCAGTGGATGCCTGTGTACTTCACAGGGAGGGGAAAGCTGCATCCCACAGAAATCTTAACCTTTATGCATTTTGAGAGGAATTCATGTTGGTGGTGGGGGTTTTTTTTGTTGGGTTTTTTTTTTTTGTTTGTTTGGTTTTTTTTCTTCCAACACATCACATGCATGGATATATGCTAGAGATGAAATGATACTGTGTGGGGCTGTGTGATGAAGTGTTCAGCACGGTGGATTCTGTTAGAGGACGAGTGATGTGTTACAGCCAGACATCAAGAAATGATGATCCATGAGCTGCAAGTGCTTTTAATAGGATAACTACCCACTGGTTTGCTTAGATTTCTTGTACTTGCATCTTCTACCACTGGAGTGTGGAAGGGTGAGCAGATACAGCTCAGTGAAAACAATACAAAAGAAACCACCCTGCATCTTGAGAAATGTTTAGCAGCTTAATCAGAGTATAATACTGTTAACAGTGCATAAATGACAGCTATTTTCTGTTTATCTACAAATTGTTCCATTCTTTGAGCTTTATCCATTATTATTTAAATATGAGTATTTTAAGTATGTCTTTCTCCTCGAAAGCAACCCCTATTTTTTCATCAGTTTGATTTCACAAGATATTGTCAAACTTCTTATGTGTAAGAGGATAAACAACGTACTTTACCCTCCAGCAGTCATAAAGGGAGAAACAGGGGGAGAGGAAATCCTGCCCCTAAATACCCAATGTTATGACTCTGTACTCAGGAAATGTGGGAAACAGAGGTCCTCAATCTTAAATTTTTCAATGGGGTTTTCTTTGCTGCCGCCTGCTAACCTGCTAATCTCATTTCCGTGCCTCTTTCTGGAGACAGTAGAGCACAGCTGAAGTTTCAAGCCGTTTGGGGTTTTTTTCTGTCAGTGTAATGCAGGCGTTGTGGAGGCCACGGGGGCTGCAGAGGCTGTGCTCTGACTGCAACAGCAGTGAAGTGTGCTAGCTGGCACTGAGCATGAGCCAAACTCCATTCTGTCGCATCCTAGCACCTCCAAAATGCGCTAGAGCTACACAGCATGACAAGTGAGCTTATCCATTAGTTCCCTGGCTGGGTTAAAATCAACAGTAAAGCAAATGCACCGTTTCTAGTACTTCTGAATAGCATCTCGTTTGGGCCTTGATGTGAAAGCAAAATACAGTAAGTTGCAAGTGACAGAAGCAAATTAGTTCAATATCTCGGGTTTCAAACCTCATCATCTTGCAGGAAACACCTCTGACAGCTGTTGTGTCAGCTGGCAGCTAGTGGGCAAAATACAGAAATTATTAAAACTCCAGAGTTTGTAATTCAGGGAAGGGAGAGAGAGAAATGTGAAGCCAGTGATGGCTTCTTGGCTTCATTCTGAGTTTTCTTGTCTAATGCAAACCACTGAAAGTCTCTTGGGAGAACAACTGCAAAGACTTTTTTGGGACTTTTGGGAAAGTGATGCCTTTCCCAAACCAAGGGTGTGGATGGTGGTATCATGTCTCAGCTTCTTTGTGATGTCCCTAAGCTGCTGGCCCACATGCCAAATCAGAGCGCTTTTGCAGGGAATTGCTGCTGCTGACAGTGGGGTTTGTGGTTCCTGTGAGGAACCTCAAGTCCCTATTCCTGCTAGACAGCATTGAATGGCTGGCAATTAATTGAAAGCTGTGCTCTTAGTGACACAACCTGAATCTGTTTGTCCTGAAAAGTGCAAAATCCATCTCTGGGTTCTGGTGTGGCTCTTAGCGACTCATCTGCACTTGGGGGTCAATGCCCACAGCTCTGTTAATACCCTGAGCTGTCAGCAAACTTGTGCTACTGGTTTGGAGCCAAGGGCATGTTCTTGCACTCATGAGCGCTCTGGCTTGGCATCTAGAGCATGTAAATCAAGACTGACCAAGGTGCCATCTTTAAGGCCTTAGAAGGAAGCTCACAAAGGGATTTGTTCATTGTTATCTGTTGTTATCAGCTGTTGTCCAACTGGCTGGAGTGCCTACAAGGTCATTTTAGCTCTGCTGGGACTGGGGACATGGATTAGATGCTCTGAGGGAAGGAGGAGGTTTAGAGTTGCCAGCCAGTGATCCCCTGCCCAGACGTACACTGCATACTGAGGTCACTCACCCTGCCCTGACTGGAGAAGCTGCCACACAGCCTTTTCCAGAGACCCATGCTGCCAGCACTGTGGTGGTCTCTGCTTTCTCACATGCTTGGAAAGAGGGTGCGCAGTCCTAGTGCTCGAGACAGTCGAAAAAAGACTTGGGACATTGGGCTTGTGGGGTTAGAGGGCTGAACATGCTAAATTGGATCTGTCAGCTTGAGTTCTTCATTAAGTGTCCCTCAACCAAACCTCACTAAACCACCCACCATCAGCAATGCTCTGGCACAAACTCTGTGGCTGGGTCTGGGGGCAGTGCCTGGTGTGTGAGGTAGGGATGAGGACACAAAGAAAGGAGCGTCTCATGCTTCTCTCCCTTCTAACATCTCCATAAGGAGGACCAGCTGTTCGTTATGACCTTCCCTAGTCCCCACTGAAGTGGTGTCTCAGAGCACCAAGCACTATGTGTACCCACCTTGCCTTCTGCTGGGTGCTGTGACAGCATAACACAGGGATGTCCTTCATCTACTGGAGAAAGCAGGGCTGGAGCTGTACTCAGCTAATCAACAGAGGATGATGCTGGGTATGGCTAAAGCTACTACCCCTTGCTAGGAATGGCTTGGCTCTACGCTGAAGGCTTGTGCCAAACTCATAAGATCATGTCTTAATTCCAACGTGTATTTTCTATCTTATTTGCAATTAGGGTTTAAAACCTGTGTGTTGTTTTACTTAAAATTTCATTGATGACTGAAGGTTACTTTAAAAAAAAAATTAATAATTGTTTCTGTGTCTACTTCAAGTGTATATTTCCTTCATATTTAAGGTAATGCCTCAAGCTTCAAGCTAGGCAGCTGTGCAGATCCCAACTGGATCAGAGCCACAATATGCTACTTCTTTTTCTAGAGCAAAACTGATCCCAGATGATCCATCTCTTTAAAACTTGAGCAATTTATGCTCCCAGTACTACTGATACAAAAAAGTCATAATGTAAATGCAGAGTCTTGGTGCTTTTCGTTAAATACAACAAATGTCATCTCAGTTATATAAATTTATACAGATTAAAAAACAATGAGTACGTTCTCTTATATGAACAAAAGCTCTTAAAGATATTGCCTACACCGCACAAGCTTCTGGAAGGCTTTCTTGAAATCTTCATTAAAGATTGTGTAGATTAGAGGGTTAATAAGGGAATTTATATATCCCAGCCATGCTAGGAAATTAGACATGTCTTCTGAGATGTGACATCTTTCACAGGTATTAACAACTACTTCTTTTACAAAAAAAGGGAGCCAGCAGATCACAAATGCCCCCAAGATCAGACCCAGTGTCGTTGCTGCCTTTCGCTCTCTTGTGCTAGAGATTCTTTGTTTTTTCCAGGACTTCTCGTGCTTAGATTCAGACCTGGGGCTTCGTAGGGTGATATTGATTTTATCGCAGTCCACCAAGGGATCTGATGTCTTCTCCGCTGTGCTGGGCATTGAAGCCGATTTGGTGCTTCTTTCACCCGTGTCCAAAAGGACTTGTCCATTTACCTCTTCCCTTATGATCCTGCTGACGCTTCTTCTGTGAAATGTCTTTGCTGCCTTGTATATCTTGTAATAAAGGATGAGAATCAAGGCCAGCGGGATATAGAAAGCTCCAAATGTAGAGTAAATGGTGAAAACAATGTGGTCGTGTTTGATGATGCATTCGTCATCTCTGCTGGTCGTCTGGTGCCGCCAAAACAAAGGTGGCATGGAGATAAAAATGGATATGATCCAGACCACTGCAATCATGATGCCAGCGTGCTTAGGTGTCCTTTTCCGTGCGTATTCCACAGCATCCGTGATTGCTCTGTACCGGTCCAAAGCAATGGCAGAGAGATGCAAGATGGAACACGTGCAGCACGTAATGTCCACGCTCAGCCAGATGTCACACACCACTTGCCCCATGATCCAGGTCTCCTTTACAATGTAGACAATGCTGAAGGGCATCACGAGGACTGCCACAAGAAAATCAGTCACTGCAAGAGAGCAGATTAGATAGTTGGCGGGATGGTGGAGCTTTCTCGTCACAATTATTGCAGTCATCACGAGAGAATTGATGGCCGTTGTCATTAGTGCAAGCACAGCCAGGGTAATGGAAATGAGAATCTTGGATGTCGCCCATTTGAATATTTCTTCTGATGTACCGTTTTGTTCAGTTGAGTTTATTAAATCCATGTTCCCTTTTAAAGGTGATCTTTACCAGTAGCAGTTACCTGTTGGAAAAGTAAAAACATTCAAAAAGTACATCTTTAGTCTCCAGGAACTTTTTGATTTTTTTTTTTACCTTAAAAGATTATGGCCACCAAACTTACAAGAACCTCAAACTTATCACTAGAAATTATTCTGGGTCCAGACAGATTTTCCTGGCTAGCACTATGTGCCCTGCAGAGAGGGACCTGGGGGTTCTGGTCCATGGCAAGTTGAACATGAGCCAACAGTGTGTCCTGGCAGCCAAGAGGGACACCCGTGTCCTGGGGGCATCCAGCCCTGCACTGCGAGCCGGGCCAGGGAGGGGATGGTCCCGCTCTGCTCTGCACTAGGGTGGCCTCAGCTCCAGCACTGGGGGCAGTTTGGGCACCACGGGATAAAAAGGATCTAAAGCTGCTGGAGAGTGTCCAGAGGAGGGACACAGAATTATTGAAGGGTTTAGAGGGGAAAGGTGTGAGGAG